GCATAAACAACGAGTTACAGGCTCCAACTGGAAGAGGTAAGACTCCTCTGATAATGTTCAGCTTTTGGTAAAACTGTAGTCTTCACAAAGAACCAGAAATAAATCAACATTTCCCCAGAACACAGTTTTTTCTACCAAAACTAAGTGCAGTTAAGTTAGTCCGGGTGATCCATTAATGTTAGCTATAATTTAGGTTCAGTGATGAGTTTAAATCTATTATTGAGGTGTTTTTAATCAGTTAAACTTTATTTTAATGAAAAGAATTAGGAAACTGAAGCTAGTAAATGACAGAAATTGGTCAATTCAAATATTTAAAGTAGTGCTGCTTGTATTATTAGCAAGAATAAAATGTTCTTTTTAGAGTTTCAGTATTGTCTGCATAAAAACTGCTTCATGTGCAGAGAACTAACTTTTAACAATGGGATCATGGAAAGAACAATTGGTCGTCTGTTAATTTAATCATGTTATTTCATGATATTTTCTTGACTTTTTGCTGACTTCAGCTGACAGTAAAAATAACCCAGTACTTAATCCATCAATATTTAATCCATGTCCATGTCTGTTGATGTAGGAGCTGAGAGTCAGAGGCAGAGTCAGCAGGTAGAGTTCTGTCAGGTGAGCGGTGAAGGTGCTGGGCAGGTGTGAATGAAATATAAAATGTTTACTCAAATTAATATTTATTTTAAGTACATTCTAGTCAGCTGTGTGAACTTGAAAGAAATTATGAATCTAAAAGCATAATTTACAGCATGATTAACAACTTTAAGTTTTATTTCTAGAAAGTGTTAGAAAATGTTTTTCATAATTAGGATTTTCCTGATTAAATAAATGTCAATAAATAAATATGTCAATTTATCCATCATTAGATTTCTGATCAGTTCCAAACATCCATGTATCAGTTTTTCTTAATATTTACAGGATGATAAAACTGATGAAAGTTATATTTTATACGACCACTGTTTGACACACTGTCATTATGGTAAAAGGCTGCATGATGTCATGTCAGTTTATGAGTAGACCTGTCACTTAAAGGAGACTTATCATGCTAAATGCACATTTTTTGCATTTGTAAACTATTTTTTGTGCAATTATAGCGTCTTGGAGTGTAGAAAACTTTAATTTATTCTGTCCAGTTACTGCAAAGATATTTTTATATTATTAATGGGTCAAATTTTTCAGTTTGTTCAAAATCTGCTGTTGCTTATTTTGTTTCATTGCTTATTTCGTCACACTATTTTCTTCGGAACTACCATTTATGGTAATGTATTTCCGGCCAACTGGATTTCATAGTCCGCCATTTTTTTCCTCACTACGTGATTTTGTAGTTCACAGCGTCATGCCGAATATGCAAGTTCAGAAGTCAAAATGTTTGGTTAAGAGGTGTGTAAACCCACGTTATTATCTACATAGACTACCAGCTCAGAGCAGAGCTTCTTCAAAGTGCCTGGTTAAGTTNGTTATTTAACATCTTGTTGCAATGAAAAGTCAATCAGCTAGGCTAATAAACAACTTACATTTAAGACGAATTCTTTAGCTGATGATGACGCAATGCATTCTGGGATACTGTGGGCAGCGTAATGTGCTCAGATGCAGCCGACAAAAACTCGAAAATGTCGGCTGCATTTGTTGACCGCATTTGTGGGCACCGACGAATTGGGACAGCCTGTGGCGCGGGGGGAGTGACGTCAGTGGCCGACGAATGCAGTCGACGTCGGCTGCGACCCATGAATTGAGATACAGCTATTGTGTGTGTCTGCAGCAGCTCTCTCCATACCTGAGAGTGTCCAGTCT